TATGTGAACCCATAATTGATAGTATATTACTTATCCAATGATTCAACAATAAAAGATGATGTGAATTACCTCAAATAAAATGTGATCATCAAGAAGACATCTTAAAATATGATCTCAACTTATAAATCATACCTTTGGTGATTCAGAACATCTATGCTCATTTTTACAATACATTTGTTAATACTTAAAAAATCCTGTGGGGTAGCCCAAGTAATTTCAATTTAATCAAGTAATCCAATACTAAAAAAATTTAATATCATACCCATCATTATAGATTGAGTAAACCTTCATACCCATATTTTGTTTTATGAAATTTCATTGATTTGATTGCCTTGATTACTTCATTTATCATTGTGATATTTTTTGTAAATTTTTACATTTTCTACTATGATGTATAAAGTGATAAGTCTGTCTTCCAATTAATGCTATGTACATTTGCCATCATCAAAACTATGCATTTAATATTCATACACCTTCCCCCTAGTTTAACTTGGTAAAAAAAATTAAATGTGACATATCAAGATGGAGTCCTTTTACAAGCAAAACTAAGATAATTCTAATTTTAAAGTATTACCTATAAAATTTTAAGTTCTTAAAGGAAAGATTAAAACTATGTATAGGTAGATTCAAGCAATGTTTGTTTTAAAACTAGAAAAAAAAGATAATTCCTTTGTTTAGCAATAGATATTTATTATGTATAAGTAAAAAAAATCTCAAAGGAAATAAATAGATAACTTATTTGATCAAATTATTAAACTAAAATACATGAATTAAAATTATTGTGAATTAAATGTGATGGTGCTTTTTACACAAAATTCTTGCCTAAGTTTAAATCATACCTTGTAAATAGAGAATCAAGTAAAATATTATAATTATGTTATTAAAATGAAACCTTAAATTTTCAGAAATATTATTTGAATAAAATACTGTAATCTTTTTTGCAAGTGATAATGATAGTTATGATTTACTGAAAATGTAGAGCAATGCAATTCTAGTTCTTGTAAGTTAGCTGCATACACATTATTGATTACCTATGAAATACAATTATTTCATCTGTTATTTTTTCAATAATGTGGCAAGTAGTACATTCAAACACAACTTTCTTTGTTCAAATAGGACACTAATCCTAAATGAATTATCATTGCCAATTTTTTCCGAGATTCACTAAGTAAGAATACTAGTTTGGAATACCTTTCTTATTTTCCAAAATACGTATACTGTTGTCCCCTTTTTTTATCATGCTGAGAAGATTTTGCATAGATCAAATATCTAGGTTACCTATAATCCAAGTCCAACTCACTCAAAAAAGGATCTTATTCTAAATAAAAGAAAGTATATCTTCAATTCAAAAAGTGGAATGTTGTCATTGATATTCCTATTGGTTACTTGAAAAAAATTATCCAACATTAAAGTAGAACTAAAATTATTGGGTGGTAGTAAACATGGTTAGCATACCTATTAACGTTATTCATGCGTGAAGTGACAATCACATGAATGCTGTTTGCAGAAAAATCTAGTACCTCAAATCATGACATAGTCATGATATTTAGATTTGTACATGTTATACTACCATTGTTCGTTTTACTAATGTATGTTGTTCTAACTGTTCTATTACTTCGACACTCTAAGTGTTAACCAATATCTAATTCAAAGTTCTCTTATATTGTCAAAGCATTATTAAGCATACTGATATTGACTGTCATTTGTTTGAAAAAAAGTTTTCGCCAATATTTTTTGCGCACCCTACATTCCTGGTCATAATCCACTTTCCCATTGTTTATTATGAGATTTGACTTCATTAGAGTTTAATGCTGATGTATCAACGCTGGACATGCTTGTTTCAACTTGAAATGGGTTAGTTGAAATATAAGCCAAGATTGCCTATTTTATTGTAAATTATACATTCTATAAAAATAAAGGAGGCTACGATATAGGAAAACTGATTCTGGCCTAGATCTACAAACCGTTTCCCAGACGTTCTTTCTACCGTATTTCTATACTTGAATAAGTTTCTAAGAAAATAATAACATTAACATATAAAAATATTAAGATAGCGATTATCTATTCCCAGAAATTTATTTTAATAGTCCCCCTGCCATCAGTCTGTGAGATCGGGTTGTAATGGTATTGACGGTGGGGATCGCGTTGGTATTGGCGGAGAGGCATTAGAATAATGGAAGGTATCGCCAAGTCCAACGCTTTGCCAGCTTGGGGGGGCGCATGCGACGGCGAGCACACTCTAAATGCGCAAAAGTGACGGGTGAAGGGGGAGCAGAAATACCCGCATCCATACGAGGTTGCCCCTCACAAAACAACGCCCGGGGCACCTCCGGGCCAGCGATGCTCCGAACACTAGCCCGCTCGCCGACGCGTCCCTCTCCTGTCACATCGGACTGAGCTCTTACGGGTTTGAAGGAGAAGAAATGAAAAGAATAGCGGTGGAAAGCGGGTCAGGTGGGGCCTAAAGATTGAGGTGACGACTTTTGAACCTTTACCTCTCTCTATCTCTAAAATACAGAGTTCCTCTCTCTCTCTCTGACCAATTTCTCCCTGGCTCTCTCTCTCAAGGGTACCACATTCTCCTCTGGGTGGTGCCTGCGCTGGGGGTCCTGCAATGGCAAGGGGCATCTGCGGAAAGTAGCTGACGGCATAGAGCTGCTGCCACCGGCTTAACCCCACTGGATACTACGGATCCAGTCAACGCCGATGACTGCAGTACCTCGCGACATGAGTTGTGCCCGCAGCTGGTGCCAACTCCCAACGCACCATTCTCTCTCTTCTCTCCATTTCTTCTCTCTTATCTGTCTGTTTCTCTCTCTATCTCTCTCTCTCACCCTCTCTCATCCTTGTCCGTCTAAGCCACTGTCTACGACTACCCACCTGCGGGGCATGGATATCCGAGACTTTTGAGCTCCTCTCTCGGTCTCCCCTCCCTTGTCTCCTTCTTTTGCATGGGGTGCATCAGAATACCCGGACAATTCGCTCTCTCTTCCACCCTCTGCGTTTCTCTCTCTACTGTAATCAGAATCCCACACCAACAGGTGGGGGACACGCGGGTCGCCCTATTTAACAATGAACCCCTGACGTTTCTATGTGTTGAGCGCTCAACTCTGTTGATGCCACTGCAGACGAAACTGTGCCCTGGCAACCGGAGTACTGCCGCCCCTCCCTCCTCCCGGGTTCTCTCCCCTCCTGTGGTGGCTTGCATTCCCGTGAAGCGAAATGATAATCGTTTCTGTAACCACCAGCGACGGAGCTTGCAGAAGGCGTCTGGCAGCGAAGATCACATCATTATCGTAGGGTTTGTTCGGACCGTAAACGATGGAGATCGCTGTCTAATCACCCGGTTGAATGCCGTCGCCTACGGTCAGGATCTTCGTGCTTCCGCTTCCCAAACGATGCAGGCTTTCGTGGGTGGGCGTGCAAGGTACTTCATTTACTCCCCACCAATACACAGACTGATAAAGATAGAGATAAGGGTAGAATGATATCTTCTTGTCGTAGCTTCCTTGTACGTCTAAACAGGAAAATAGAGCTGCGGGTTGTGGGGAGTCACATCGATATCGGAAGAGATTCACTGAACAGCCTCCCAGATCGGCTCCCGTTGCCTTGCCTACTTAGACAGTCACTCCGCCTCTGCGAACTAAAATGGAAACCGGCGCCCAGCCTGGATCCTCAGGCTGGCGTTGTATATCCTCCGAGAGAATGTGTTGCAGAACAGAAGCAAGGAAGGGCAACCTGTAACGGAATCAGCCTTACGGAGCGAGAGAGGGAAGAGGGGAGCGAGCGAGCGAGAGAATGTGTATGAGACAGAGAAGGAGAGGGAGAAAGAGTGGGTGTGTGTGTGTGTGTGTGAGAGAGAGAGAGAGAGAGATATAAAGAGAGAGGTGAGAGGACGAGCATCCTGTCCAGGCGTGTACGCCTAGGACACCAGAATATCGAACCATGAACAAAGAAAAAAGACATGAGAGAAAAGCATATTCATATTGGCTAGTGATTGTGAGGCCCCAATTCTTGACTGGAAGGGACACCAAATACTCTGCCCTTCCATCCCTTGGATAGATAGAGAGGGAGGGCAGAGTTTTGGGTTTTTTCATGTTGTCAAACAGTTGAACAATGAAAATAGATGGCGAATGCCTGATCGAATTGATCAGGTCATGTAGGAACAAGGTTCAAATCTCTCGGTCTGTTAGGATGCCTCAGCTGCATACATCACTGCACTTCCACTTGACACCTATCGTAATGATAAACGGCTCGAGAGAATGTGTATGAGACAGAGAAGGAGAGGGAGAAAGAGTGGGTGTGTGTGTGTGTGTGTGTGAGAGAGAGAGAGAGAGAGAGAGAGAGAGAGATAGAAAGAGTGTGTGTTTGTGTGCGTGTGAGAGAGAGATATAAAGAGAGAGGTGAGAGGACGAGCATCCTGTCCAGGCGTGTATAGCGGGAGAGATGACGGAGCACCTCGTTAGGCCTGGACTGTTCTTATTTTGCCATTTTTGGCTGAAAGGTCTGCCATGTTTTGGGCTCATCTGGCACCGGGGCTTCTCGCATAAGATAAGAGACCGCACACATCCTCACGTGCATATAGAGGGTTCGACCAGCATCTGTAGATCCAAGTGCACCGCTAATTCCGGGAGACCTGTCCGGCTGGCCTCATAGCGGGCGTCACGAAATAATGGTTCGATAGTGTGATACGTCGACAGGCAGAAAACATCCTCCAATCTTTCGACAACTCAGGTGTATAGAGATGCGTTTGTGGGCATCCAAGGAGAGTACAGACAACCAGGGAGAGGCAACCGACCCCTGGAGTGAACGGTTACGATTCATGGCGAAAACCTGCATCAAATTGTATCCGGCACGGCAAACTGCTACAATTACTAATCGAAACGAGATCTAGAAAGAGAGGATAAAGTAAACAATGTTGGGTGCTGCGCTAAGCTGACCAATGGGTCTCAGCCGCCGTCTACAGTGGGTTTAGCGGCGTCTGCCTGTTCCGTCCGCAACTATAGGTGGTGGTAGCGGAGGGCCTTAGTAAGCTCTGTCATGTCACCAACGCCGCCGCCGCGGCCGCCACTTGCTTCTCGACTCCCGTTATCGTCGTCATCACGATCGTCACCATCAACAGGATCCTCGATCCCCTCTTCGTCCTCTACCTGCTGGTCATACTGTGGGAACGTCGACCCCGTCGTGCTCGGAGACAGGGAACCGTCTCCGTCCATCGACTGGTTGTCCGACGGTAGTACACCCATCTCCTCCATAAGCTCCGCCATCTTCTTCCTCCCTGAAGCGGTGAGCAAGGCGGCGCCACCGCGGCTGCCTATGGGGGTCGGGGCGCTCAACGTTTTGCCGTCTCTGGGCGGGGAGAACACTACCGGCATGTACTCATCGGTGTCACAGGCGAACTTGGAGTTCTTGAAGTGCTCCTTCAACGCCTCCAAACCCTACAGAACTATAACACCATCTAAGAGACCGAGATTCTATCGTCATGTAAAATGAATCAAACCAAAAACAATCATGGGACAGGGAAATCAACGCACGGACAGACGGCACGAGAGGAGTAATCTACAATACCTGCAGGCGAGCGTAGGTCACGTGGCATATCTTCCGGGAGTTGAAGACCTCCCAGGGCTGCAGGTGAAAGGCCTTGTACAACCTCCATGTGGCTTCCGGCGAGGTCATGTTGACGAACCCGTATCCTACGTTGCACTTGTTGCTTAATTTGACAATTCACGAAGTGGGGGCGCGGGCACAGTTCGCCGAAATGGTACAAAGGAAGATCAGTGAGAAACCAAAGAAAGAATTCTTACGCCTTAACGTTTGAAAGTGAATAAGGGGAGAAGGTTGGGAGCGGGCGGAAGGAGAGGATGGAGAGTCATAAGAAAACACCTGAACGAATAAAAAAGTTATTATCCTCTCCAGCTTTACTTATAGGTCGTTCTTTCCCTTTTGACCCGCATTGTGACCCCAAAAGTAGCTTTTCCCCTTCCCCACCTCCCCCCCCTTTTCAGGTTTTATGAGATTGATGGGCATGGATTTTCAGGGGTGGACTGGTACGAAAAGACTAAGGAAACCTTCTGTCTTTCCCTAGCCATAACTTGTTCTTGGTTCCTATGGGCTCGTCTAGGCCACAACGATCTCGAACTCTAGGGTTTCGGCGACAGGCAGTCGTCGCCCTTGGCTCGTTTTCCCCGGCAACTTCCCTTCCTCTTCCAAATGTAAACCAGGCTTCGTTTAAAATGATAGAATAATTCAGCAACTTCCACTGTATGTGGCCTTCGTGACTACAGAAAAAAAGGAGTATGGACAGACTCACTTGAAATCGATAGGGAGGTAGACAAAGTCATAGGAGGACATGGGTTCGCTTCCATCCCCTTCGGCCGCAATTCTCTCGTTGTAGTGGATGCAGTGGTTGTCCAGCATGTTCAGGAGGAGCTTCTGACTGCACCGTAGACAAGAGAATGAAGAACAGTCATAAAATCACAATGAAAGAAGAATAACGTATCCCCCCAATGGCCGGATGAAGAGGGAGGAGACCAGACAGACCTGTACTTGTTGGGTATGTTCTTAATCATGACGGTGGTCCTGGAATCCCGGAAAGAGGAAGAAGGCGAGCTGCCCCCGGCGAAGGTGTCCTTGAAGAGGAACCTCGCCTCGGTGGCACTCCTGCTCTTGCCACTTTGGCTCTTCCAGTTCTTATGCCGCCCTGAGTGCTGCCTCGACGAACTGGCCGGAACCGAAGACGGGCCGCCGCCACCGGCCCGCTTGCCCCTTCGGGCGTTGTCGCCGGCCGCTTTGTCGTCCGTAGACACGCTACACTCGCCGCCCACCCGCCCGAGGAGAGGCGGCCTTGAAGTTGCCCCATACGAAGCATCAGCCCTGGGGAGCCGCAGTAACCTTGGGGGCAACGGCGTCGGCTGGTGGCTTGAGCCCTTCCTGCACGCGCTTCCACAGGTTGTCGGTATTGGCGTTAGCAGGATGAACTCGCCCGTTCGGGGGAGAGCAGAAGGAGATGGGAGGGAAAAACAGAAGCAACTAAGCTGCACCTCCTGGCTTGCTGGCCGCCGGGCCTGCTGAACTCGATAACCACGCGTTTCCCGAAGATCTCCTTGCCATTGAGCTCGTAGAGCGCCCGAGCGGCGTCCCGAATGTCGAAGAACTCGACGAACCTGTGCCGAGGCTTCAACGGGGTCTCCCGCAGCTCCTTCACCGTTCCTGTCGGTCGAATTTACACAAGACCTCAGAAAAAAGACGGGCGAGGGCGATGGCGAATAGAAAACAGAAGCTCTGAGCGGCGGAACCATCTGGGAGCAAGGGATTCAAGATGAATCGGCCACAAAAAACGTTGAAAGCAGTTGCATGAAGAAAGCTTTCGAGTAGAAGAACTCGATGAATCCGGCTCGAAGGGCCGATGAGGGGATCCTAGGAGGAAGAAAAAGGGCATCACGATGCGCCGAAGCACCGCGAAACGAAAAGCAGACGGGCAAACGGAGAATTGAATTTGTTTGAATAAAATCCGACGATGTTCGGAAAAGAAGTTGCAAGTGCAAGAGCACAATACCGACCAAACACTTCGAAGACATCCTTGAGCGCGGCGGAGGAGACGTCCGAGTCCAAATTGAAGACAACGAGGGAACCGTTGTTGGGGCCGTCGAGCCCCGCCGCCTCCGGGGCGAACTGGGCCCACACGGCCCTCCCGGCAATAAGCCCCCGCCCGACCGCCGGCTGCCCGCCACCACAGTATCCGCCGATGTTGCTGCCACAGCTGCCCCCCAGCTCCGCCCATAGCGGGTCTCCGCCTCCCCCCCAATTGGTGCCGCTCCCGCTGCCGCTGCCGGGGACCATTCCCACGAAACCGTACTGCTGGCCCAGGAGGCTCTGCTGCCGCACGTGCTGCTCGCGGATCTCCGCCAGTGCTGCCTGCGCGCTCCGCAGGTCGTAGAAATGGACTGTTACGAGCCCCTCCCCGAGGGCTCGCCCCATCTCAACTGCCCGCACGCCGCCGAAGCTCTCGAGCTCGACCCGAACGGCGCTCTCCGCCGCGTGCGGCGGCACCGAGCTCAGCAGCAGCGTCCGGGTCGGCTTGGTGTCCGGCAGCGCCGTGGCGGGGCTCACGTACGGACTAGGGTTCAACTGGGAGGTCTGGTAAAAGGGCACGGGAAGCGCCGCAGTGGGTTGAGCTTGGGGCGTACCGTAGGCGTAGTAAACCGGCGGCGGGGGGAGGAGGGAGAACGGGGGAGGGGAGGCCGCCGGGTGGAACTCCTGGGCCGCCGGATCTAGAATGTTCCCCGCCATGCTCCCGGGTTCCATGCTTCCCGAACTCGCTTCTCAGGCCCCCCTCTCTTGTGATCAACCAGCCTCGATGAGTATATATATACTATCTATAACCCGCCAGTTCCAAAAGCAGCTATCAGGATGGTCATGGAAATATGGGAAGAAGAACGACACACAAAATAAGAAAAATGGCTACCAGAGGTACTCGGCCGAAGAACTAGAGGGTTCCATTGGCGGACAAAGAATGGAAGCTGAGGACGGGCCATGGGGCTTCGCTACCCCTCCCCTTCCTGTGCCCTCTCAATTCCCTGGCTACCTATCACTTTCTTTCTCCCTCTTATTTCTCTGCCTGCAGACGAAGATCGAGAGAGAGAGAGAGCGACAGACAGGATGGATCGGTGACGGACGATGTCCTTAGAGACCGAGGCGGTTCCCGGGAGGATGCCCACGTACGCGTCTCATTAAACATTATTTGATCGTTGAGTTTTTCTAGTTTCAAGCACGGAAAGATCATCGCGCCCTTTCCGATTTTACAACTATTTACACACAAAACGTTGCAATGCAACAGCAATCAAAGCGAGGGGCTTTTCTCGGAAAGTATTGACTTCAAACGACGGACGGTTCTGGGTCGCAGGGCGTTCTACGCGGCGGTTCTCATAATTCTCATGATTCCGCTGTGGGAGCGCCCAATATTCCTTAAAAGGATTTCAATCCCGCCCACGGACACTACCAAAATTAGGCGTGATACCCCGTTGACCGAATTGCCCCACAGCCCCGACCCTTCCACTTCCCTTCTGATGCTGACGAGAGAGAGAAAGAGAGAGTTTGCTTCTTGGCGGTAGGCCGCCGTTCCGAGGTGGGGGGCGGGCGATTCGATAGCAGAGAAGGGAGGGGGGGGGACACTCTTTCGGCGGGATTGATCTTCCAGGGATTACAGAGTGAACGGTGATGATCGTGTATGAGGAGGGGGGGGCCGGGTGCAGTACCTGGAGATCGTCCGGCGATTCGGGGCCTGTCAGAAATGTGGTACAATTTGGAAGAGGGGGCAGGCGAGTCGCACTCAGCTACAGCGCCTTTATGACGAGGACGACGGGTGAGGGAAGCGGAGAGGGGGCGAACCCGAGCAAGTGGCCGATTCGGTAATTAATGGTTAATTATTGCCGCCGCTTCTCCTCCCTCCCGCCTGTTTCCCCTCTAGGAGACAAAACGTTGGCATCGGCCTCGCATTGACTTAAAGCCATCAAATAATTATCTTTTAGTCTTCAAAATAAATTAATCCTTTCGACGAGAAATGATACATTAACTATGATAATTGGAAAGCGTCTAAAATTAAAGAGCTGATAACATTTCTGTACATAAAATTTTTAACCATAGAAGGAATAAACTAGCCAATGAAATAAGTTAGATTATGAAGAGGCAAAGTAAATGACTCCTATGTGTATTACTTTATCTGCACAAAAATCTGATTACTTTATCATCACTATTAGGGTACAATAGAACAATATTTGGGAATTCTTTTAGAAATGATGTACACTAGAACATTTCAAACATACTAAACCATCTCAAGCGCATCCTGCACTTCGGGAAAGCATATCAAGATGATAACTAAAGAGTATGTTGGATTAAAATTAAATTAATAACTAAATGGTCTAACCAATAAATATTAGTAAAAAGGAAGATCAAAAGAAAAAATATCTCAAAAATATTTTAAATACGTGATTATAGACAATTGAAATAAGGAAGAAATGATCAGATGTTCATTTTAGTTCACAAAACATAATGATAATATAAGATGAAAATGAAACTAATATATTCATACTCCTCTCAATGCCAACATATTGATATAAAAAGGTCAGTCAAAATAATTATTTTATCATATGTTTATACAAATCAATATGAACCCATGATATTAGAAACTTTTAACCCCAAAGTTAAATAAATAGGAATGGAATTGAAATGTCATAGGTAATTATCCACTTCCCCCCAACCCCCCTCAAGCATTGCCATGATGTATTTCAAACAGATTATCTCTTAAACCTATTACGAATTGCCCTCAAAGAGAGTCAACAAAATCGTCTTATGACAACATGCTTAGAACAATTCTAGTTTACTTCTAACAAATGAAAAGATTGTTTACATCTAGTACAAAGTGAGCTTAACAAGTTTAGATGAATTTTGACAATTAGTGAACTTTAGGATGATACTAGGGCTTTAAATGTTGATTTTGTTAAAAATTTCATCTTGTGTTAAAGGAGTAATTATATAACTTTTAAGTTTTGGCTATTAATTGAAAGAACTCATTAATTTGATTGGTACAAATCAGTTGCTTTTCAACCTTTCCTTTAGTTGTTACTTCAAGAAAAATTGCTATCATAAGTTTACAAGTGATAGGAACTTGATGTGAAGTACTAACAATTTGGGTTGTTCGTGTTAATACACTAGTCATCTGTTATAGTTGTTGACAACAAAGTTTTAGTTTTAGCTCTTGAGTTTCAATTCTTATTTTTTTAGAAGCGTCAACACCTATTTTACTCACACTTTTGTCAAATAATTGCTAACTTTCATCCCACTTTTAACTATTCTCAGCTTAGAAAACCATTATCTTTGCAAAGATGAAAAATTCCTTAATTTATTTCAAGATATGGGGTTTTATAGTGATTTAAAATAGAATATCAAGCTTAGCTCAATTAATCAAAAGAAGTTTCTTCTTGATTAACATTATATTTCATGGATGAGATCGTAACTTAGTAATGGTAACTTTAGTGAACAAATGCTATACCATTCCACTTTTATGACATCACAACATTGGAATAAACTTTTTCCACTTCACAGAGGTGTACGACATTTAATCCAGAAAACAAGTGTATCACTTGTAAGTTCTTTAGACCTGACATTCAATTTAGTTTAGGGATCAAGATAGTTCTTTCATTCAAGTTGATTTGATTTTTGAATGTAACTTAAACGTATTGATTAGTTTATGATATCAATTAATTTTCCATAAAGTATATATAATTCTCTTTTGTTAGTAGCACAACAAACTTTAAAGCGTACATTATGATTTTTCTTCTTCTTTGCATTATGCAGCATATTGCTATTTTATATTCATGTCCATAGTAAACATATGGCTATTTTATATGCATGTAACAAAATCTCATTAAAGTTTTTAATATTCTCAATGCATATCTTCATGCAAATGAATGACATAGTCACTTGATAGGAAGGTATATTTTAACATTTATGTTGCATCTATCAACTAGGTTTGAGAAGAATCACTTACATGGTTTTGAATAAGAGGCTGGACTTTGTGTTTATATCAATAGTTACTAAAAAAAATATTAATTATTTAATATTTTAAAAAATGTTTGATCTCCATAGAATTAGCTTTTTACATGTTCCATTTTGATTTTCTTGATATTTATTTTAAATCCCAAGTTTCATACTCTCATATCTACATTTAATATCTTAGATAAATGACTCCGATTTAGATGAAATCCACAAATGCTTATGACAACTGAACCCTGATTTTTAAATTAATTTAAACTCCTATAAGAGTGGTATGTGTAGTTTGTCAAGATAACTTGGATGAAGTCATTCACAATGTCAATTCATATATTGTAAAATTTTTTGTCAAAGCCAGATGTATTATTTGTAATAAAAAATATATCAACCTTTAATTTTGAAGGCATCATCTTATTTATTTGATCCTCTTACCAGTGTTTGTCATGACGACTTTGATTCATTCAAAAAGGGCACAGAAAGTATAGAGGAGAGGCAGAATTAACACCATAAGCGAGTGTGATGCACTCAATAGTCTTTGCAAAAAATATTATTAACTATAATGTTACTAATAAAACATTATTTTCATTTGTAACATTATTGAGAACATATTACTAATTTGTGTAATGTTACTCAATATCTTGATGGAATACTAATATGAAATGTTGTAATTATGTAGTGAAGATAAAACATATGACAACAAGTCAAGTATTAACAATGATAGATTTGGCTGTGCCATTCTTGACAATTTTTAACCACTATAAGTAAAGAAATGGGTACTTTACACCAAAGTAACCAGCAACCTGGTAAGCAGATATTTTGGACATAATAAATGAATGAACAGTACTCAGATTTAGAAAGAAATGAAATAATTGGTGACAAGAAGTGACATTTTGAAGGGTTTCTTGTACTCATAAAAAATCTATTGTCAAATGAGAATATGCTTCTTGATTTTATTTATTTAGAATGTAATTCACACTATGTTATTCTTGTCACTTAAAACTTGATTAAGATGATCTATTTTTTTCATTTTAGGTCTCACAAGTATCATAGGGGTCAATTGTAAGACGGCCATATGACTCAAGATCCAATTTATTTGTAATTTAATTCAAACAAAGTCTTTTTTTCTCTTGTACTGATGACTATGTGTAATGTTTGTTGCTTATACCTTCAGAACTTTGATGTGATGTTAACTCACTTCCATATTATGCCAAGTATTGTCTGTATGTTGTCATTGAGTTTGAGCATTATTTGCTATTTCCTCTATGAAGCCATAATTTTTGGGGTCATGATAATTACTCCCTTATCAAAATTCGAAAATGTACAATATAAAACTTTATTTGCATGCTAATTGATTAATTACTTGAAAAAAAGTTTTACATTGTGTTCCACTCATGTTCATGTATCAGCTTAGCATTTTTTGGATGATTGTTAAAATATTTTGATATATGTGTTTATTACATTACTTTGCACATGTAACATATATTATGTTATTAGAAGGCTACAATACGTTTTCTATCTCCCATGGTGTCATTGTCATACAATGGTCCGAAAATGCATATAGCTTTTACATATTGCTGCAGAAATAAACATGCTTTCGTTGCAATCATTTATATAGAATATTAGATACCTACATTACAAGCATTCATGCAGAAAAAATAATGACTATTTGATTTTACATAGATCTAACTTCACATGATGAGTAATTACCGTTAGGTAACATTAAAAATATTGTTTGATGCCATTTTTTGGTGTTTGAT